CCAAATCTGTTCAGATGAATAAACAAACTCATCTACATCTTTCAGCAAATTTGAATTTTTGGGTGAACTATTCCTTTAAATAGGCAACTATCATCTTGTTTTGAAAGTAACAGAAAACACTTCAACATTATGTGTTATGTGTTAGTATTGTGTTATCATAGATTGGTGCAATAGAATCACCTGTTAACCCTTTATGGACATTTACAATCAAACTCATGTCATAACCAGCTTTAAAAAAAAAAAAAAGTTACCACCGATAATGCATGACCACAGGATCATCCACCTATAGACATTAAATAACCTGCAATATTCCTTTAAGGTTCTCCTTCTCCATAAGGTGACCTTCATTTTTCTGTTCAGTTACAGATTTAACAGGATGTAAGTGCTTCATGAAAAATAAATAGTTTGATTAAGATGAGCTGAGGAGGAATTGGTAGTAGCTCTAACAGTGTAGCTGATACATTAGATCATGTGGTGGAGTGAGTGTCCTACTCGATGGAGACGGGGTCCAACACTCCAGTGATCTCCAGCCCGTAAAAGCGCTGCATGTCGCTGATGGCGTTCGACAGGATTTGAGCCGAGCGCATGGTGGACATCTGCTTGCTGGCCTGTGGGAGGTAGCCGTACTGCCGCAGCCATGACTGAGACAAAAACACAGACAGAAGTGATCTCATTAGAAATCTAATTTTCATTGACCTTTTGTGATCAGGGATGCTCATGGTTATTGTCATTAATAATTGTGTCAACATTTATATTAATACTTCACAATCCACAAAGTCAAGTCTTAATGTAGAAAGAGTCATACCTGTATTTTATATGCATGTTATTAACAGTAATTGCAAACATGCAAAGCAAATTAAATTCATAGTTAAAATGTATTCAAATTCAGTTGACTGAAAATATGTATATTTATTTGAAAAAGTAAAAAGCAATCTAATTGCACATGACATCTGTAGTCTCCCACATTTTGCAATATTAATGCAAGGACTATTTAATTAATATTTTGTAAAAGCATTCCTATTTGAAAGAGTTCAGAGTATGAAAACTGATATGAATGCAACTTCCAGAACTCAAAAGATTATTAAAAACGGAGATAACACTGTATAATTAAATTCTAGACTTCTTAAAGGATCTGTGTAAAACAGGACCATTCAATTTTTGGAATAATTACATGACCCCTTTAATGCCACAGCAATTCAAAAAACATCCATTTGTCACTGCCATGAGAATGAAGGAGAAAGAAGATATTGTCACAGACTGAAAGAGCGTCACACCTGTTGTAAGCGACACCTAATACTGGTCCAGACTGTTTGAGAACACTTGAGGCGGATGTGAACACAGATTGAGGGGTGACTGCACCAGCTGGACTGACCAGTTTATGAGGTTTTAGAAGCAGCCACTCTTCCCTCACTGCTGGGGGACTTTCCTCAGGGCAGAGACATGCATGAAGGCATAGCTCCAATCCCATCTGGCTCTCGCGTTGGATACAGTGGGCGATTCCAAAAGGCCAGAGGGTCCATTAAAGGGGATGAAAGCTGGACATGATGTTCTGATTTACATTAAATGTGGTTACACCTACTGCTTATCATTATTATAATAATTATGTAATTAAACTCCCCCATTATTAAGCCCACCCTGTGGCAACAGTAAACAGGCTGTCCTTCACAGTGTTGTTATAGTACCACTGAGATAGTATTTTAGGTTTTATTAATATTTTGAATTATTTTTATATATCCATTTTCATTTGTTATAGTAAATTTGCTGTTTTTTTTTTTTGTCATTTTTATTGTTTTTTTTTTTTTATATATATTTCTATATAGTTTTTTTTATTCATTTTTTATTTAGTTTTAGCTATTTTTATATCAAGATAAACTAAATGAAAATAAGAAATGTTGCCTTGGAAACTAGCTGAAATAAAATAAATGTAATATATTTTATTTCAGTTGACATTTAATTTAATTCAAGTTTTAATTCAAGTTTAAAGTTTTTAAATGGTTTTAGTTTTAGTTAAATATAATAACCCTGGTCCTAAACCAGCCAGAACCTCCCATATAGAAAACCAGACCAATTTACTATCTCAGTTGTCTCTCCTAGACGGTAATGAGATCAAATGGAGAACAGATGGAGAAATTGCTTGCTTCACCATTTAATCTGAAGAGTTCCAAAAAGTATGAACAATATCACAAATTGTTCATTATCACCAAAGTCTACAAAGTCTCATCAAATTACTGATGTGAGTAATAATTCATATTTTATAGCTATACTTTTACTCTAACAATTGTGTCATTTGTTTCTATTATTTGTTTTTCTAAAGAGAAACATCTGAAACATAAAATCGATCATAACTGAGAACAAATGCAATACTAAAAGCAATACAGAATCAATTGCTTAGATTTGTTCATGACTTTACAGTGCTGTTTTTCACCTGGTATTAATTAGCAGAAGGCTAATGTGTTCCTCCCACTGGACTCAAGAGGTTAGGGGGTCACTGCTTTTATAATGTCCCCTTCTCTTTCTACTCTGTAACCAGGGCCTGTCACACAGTTGCCTGGTCCGGATCTCTACTTTCCACAACCACAGAAAACACAGGCCTTTGTGCTCTTATGTGTTGTGAAGGCAGCTGAATAACAGTCAAACTGTTGAATAGCTGGCCCTGTTCTGGGCTAGGCTAATATGCCACCGCACCAAACCAGCTATATCTACAGTGCTAAGAAAGAAAAAAAAGTGACTATACCCTAGCATGCATCACTATTTCTACGTACTTCAATTTGTTTTTAGAACAAATGATGCATCAAATTCTGCAGCTTGTTTTATTACTTTTCATCAGTCATCAGACTAACAATTGAATGACACAATTGCAATATGGCTTAGTGTTATTATCAAATCGCAAAGGCTGTGATTTTATTAAATAAATTTACATTAGCTGTGTTCTATAGAGTGAAGCATGTCACTGTGTTCATTTATACACGAGCAGCTCGCCACCCAGTGTTTTCAGTGTCTCAGAGCAGCTCAGTTCAAATATGGCGCTCAACATAAACACATCACTGCAAGTGCTCTGAGTTTGCGTCACTTTAAATGTGCATGTTGCATGTTGTCAACAAAAGATGTTTACAGGCTACCTGTGTTTTTTTGTTTTTTTGCCAAAAGAAATGTTTAAAGTTTGAATAAGAAGAAATGAAGGCAGTGTTGTAATTTTACAGTCATGCTGTAACATGAAAATATATTATTTTCATTATTTAATTCCTTTTTATTTACAGTAAATATTGCAATAGTAATATTTCTCATTTTGCTTTATTTAGTGAGTAAACCTTTTAATTGTCTTATTTAGTAGTAATGACATAAGTCAATATAATTATTATTGTCATTTTTATTATTATTATTATTATTACAAAGTCATATTGGTATTTAATCACACATTTTTTGTCCAAGCAGCACTGCTTAAAACATGCACACACACAGACACGTGTACTTTAAATTGCAATAGCATTTGTTATCAGAAAAAAAGCACAAAAGGACTTGATCTATTAACCACAATAAAAGAGACTCTTTGAACTTGGGCCAGTAAACAACCACCTAGCAACTAGCAATCTACCCTAGAAACTGTATAAACAGAATGTTAAAAACATTCAGAAAACCTTAGCAGCTGTATAGCAATGTCCTAGCAAATAATACAAACTCTAGCATCATGGTGGTACCTTGTGGTGGTACAACCACAGCGTTTACTATGAAAAATTTATATTTTTTTCCATGCAGTTTTTAGAAACTAATAGGATTTTTTTCAATAATTGTTGTAACACACAACAATTATTTTGAAATATAACAATGAACTGCACAAAAAAAAAAAAAACTTGGCGGCCACTTACAGCATCTAAGATCTACACTTTTTTCACAATCATCAAAAAGTGTCATTTCCATTCCATTTGTCAACTACTCTTGTACTTCCACACCAAATCCAGCAATCCCCAGCTTTCTTACTCTCCCTGAACACAATCCTCTTTGTGTCTCCCATGAGGCTGTGAGAGAGGGAAGTGCTAAAGGGCTGTGCAGGGCAAGACACACCTTACCCCCACAGATAAGACTGCCTCGCTTTCAGTCACTCGGAGCCCTGGGGCTTTTAGCAGGCGAGAGGTGGGAGGGTGTGTGTACTCCCACTAGAGAAAGACATTACCCTAGTGTTCTGCTTACTGGCTCATAAAGGACAACAACGCTCTTGCTTTCATGCTTTATATGCTCCTTCTTTAGGTCAAGCGCACCTGGAATTATTCGTCGCAGGCCGTCAAAATGGATGAGATAAACGAAGACCCGCTTTTAAAGCCTAAAATGTTTCAGCATCAATTCCACCACCACAACATCCCATGTCATGCATACAGAGTAAGGCTTTGCAGAGAACAGAGGCAAGGAGAGCCATCCTTCTCTCCCATCAGCCCCTGTGCCAGCGCTGGCTCAACGGGACCTTGAGAGCCGCTGCCAACAGCACGTCCTCCAGGAACCTGTGATTCACAGCGCGTCGTGAAAAGACTTGGGTTTAGTGTGTGTGAGAGAGCGTGTGTGTGTGTGTCCAGAACAATGTCAGCCAAGAATCTAACGACTAGAGAGCGCTATTATTCCCGGGCTTTGGGTGCGTGCCATTTTTTGGTCATTAAGTGAGAGGGAAGAGGGAGCGAGCGAACCAGATCAAGTGAAAAAGATTAAGAGGAAGACAGGAAAACAGAACATGATGGAGGAGGGGAGGAGTGAAATAAGTTAAGGCAGACTGGGCTTTTGGCATTTCAGACGTGATTCTGGCTCTGAATCTCAGGTAACTGCTTTGGGGAATAATGCAATGACAAATTTAATTTAAACTCCATGTGGTCTTCTCTCTCAGCTCTGCACATCAAGTCTACTGGGCCACAGGGAGCTGTGTCATTCCAGAAAATACAATAAATAGATTTGAAATATATATTTAGGCTATATCTTTAATGGCAGGCAGTTGGGTAATGAGACTCAAAGTAAGGTCAAAGGACAAAGCACATCAATCAGCAGTCAGTTTCATTTTCCAGCTGTGTAAATCAATAACCTTCATCAATGAGAACAGCAACGCCAAACTAAATTAAACAGACAATCAAATAAGGAGTTCACCAAAAGACATTTTAAATAGGGATGCACAGTATACCTGTATCATATCAGTTATCGGCCAGTATTAGTGTTTTTTTTGGTTAATATTGAACACATATAGGCCAATATAGAATATTTAACTGTGCATGCTGAACTAAAAGTATTAAACAGTTATAACCACAAAAATTCAGTAGATACTTGAAATAAAAATTAACAATATAACTGGGCTACAATAAAATAAAAAATAAATAAATAAAATGTTTTTTATCAACATTTCTCGTTTTAATTTAGTTTGCTTGATGTACTAAAAATTTAGTAAAAAAAATAATAAAAACTACACAGACATTAAAAGTACTAAACGAAAATGACAAAAACATAAAAAGACATACAAAAAAAATGTCAATTAAAATGGAAAATATAAAATTAAAATAATTTAAAATATTAAAAAATATATATCTAAAAAGAAAAAAGATTCTAAAACAACACTGATTATGATTTATAAGAGTATTTAAAGTATTTTTTAAATATTTTTTATATTTTATACAAAATATAATTTTAATATTGACTATAACATGAAAATTCAATTAATTTTAATTTAACAATTTTATTTTTAATTTATCAGCATCGCAGGTTCCCTGCACTGAGAGGACAATGCCATAATGCACTGAGGCAGATGTTGCAAAATAACTGTAATAATATTATATTACAGTATAATTTTTATAAATATATTTCATTAAATACTAAAGAGAATTCTTTAAAAAATTCAATCAAATTCTCTATTTTACCAAATGTGTTTGCATTGTATGGTTTTTTTTTGTTTTTTTTTTGGCAACATGCACCAAACTCCATTGGATTTTCCATCAGTTTTCGCATCTGCAACATGCTTCACATAAGAAGCATTATTTGTGTGGCATTCAGAGTTGCTGCCTAAAGAGCGTTCCAAATCAATCACATATGATGGTCCATTTCTGTGTGTATAAAGCAGCTTATGCCTATGTACAGTAGACAGCAAGGCAGGCCTAGTGAATCTGGCTCAATCCCCTCATGACCTTGCAGTAATTGAGCTGGTGAATGTGGCCCTGGTTCTTAATAAGAGAGGAAGTAGACCTACCAGTCAGAAGTACATGGACACGATTAGCAGTTAATGCGGCTCCACGGTCCAATCACATCTCATTATCCCTCTCAGTCACAGTGAGGCAGTCCAGACCCCACACAAACAGCTCGCCATGAGTTTGTGGGAAATCACAAGGATGCTACATTCCATGGATACAGAGGGCGGATAAAAAACATAAGGGAAAAGCGGGACTCCAGGGGTTAAACGCAGGATAGAGATAAGGTTGCAGGAAGTGATACAGTCGGCTCCCTATGAAGTACAGTCCTCATAAACCCCCTCCTCTCCCCGCTCCACGAGCTCTTTCTGACGCTCTATCTCCCCGCACCTCTGAACACAGTCAGCTGAACACAAGAAGTCTCATTGTTGCGCCTCAGCTGCCCGAGAGCCCTGCAGTCCTAAACATCTCTTAACTGTTTCTGTTTGTGGCCTATTTAGAAAACAGCTGTTGCATTCACCGATCACATGCAGCACAGAAGAGCAGACCAACACCTCTACACTCTCCATGCAGCAGCTAGTTAAACATGCCTGATAGTAGCTAGTTCTCCTGGCATATCCAGAAATGACTGTTTGAATTGCCAAGATAAAGCTATCTGAAAAGGAAGACTATCAGTGAGGGAAAAGACAACAGCCGAAAGCAACTCTGCTGCCAATCCCTCCTCCAGGAAGTAGATATTCATAAGACACCACTTTGAAATCATATCTTTGTTTGAGAAAGCAAATGCTTTTCTATGAAGTATTGTATTGTAAAGAACTGTACGACAAAAGGCTCTCAGAGCAACACCCACACAGAAACTCACAACACTCCCTATCTTCACTCAAGCATCTACATTGTTTGTGCTATGGGTGAACTGACACAAGCGTTGAGTTTGCACTTTTAGTTTTTCCAAAGGGATCATCTAAAACATATAATTCTACGTTCAGGCTTTTTACTGCTCACTCACTGGGTCTCATTCACTTACACAACATTAGAACATGAAGAAGTAGAAGAAGAAGAAGAATGAGGAGGAGGAGGAGGAGAAGGTGAAGACAAAGAAGAAGAAGAAAGAGGACAAAAGACTGATGCTCTGGCTGCTGAAAATTCAGCTTAGTCATCACAGGAATAAATTCGATTTTAAAACACATTCAAATAAAACCAGTTTGAACTGGTTTTGAGGGTGATACACATGGCATTGCTTGAGGATCTTGCTGCACAAGCTCTCTCAGGCAGGAGTGTCATATGTTTGCTCACAGTGATGAACGGCTGTTAAAGAAAGGTTGTGTGGAAAACCCTTATAGAGAAAGCTTGGGCATGTTTTATGCAAACGACGAACCTCAGGCACATCTCCTGAGTTCTCTTGTGCTTCTAAAGACTAATAGTCCATGAATTTTGAATGAGACCCAGTTTTTATAATATTCATGTTCTTAATCGTGAATCTCAAATTGTGGGCAAAACACCCTCAATTCTTAATGAATTAATGGAAGTAGTTACAGAACAATGTTTTTATTTTAAAAAATGGACTTTAAGCACTTCATGATCACAACCTTTGAAGCTGATATACTGTAGAAAAGGGAATGCATGCATACTTTACTTTTCTATAACTGCATTTGAGACTTTGTCCCCACAGTTGTCTCACCACACACCCAAATCAGTGGGTCGTACAGCTTTAACACATAATCCCCCAAAAATCCATCTACCACTGTGGCATGTGCAGGCCTGTCTGCTGTCATTCAACATTTGTGACTGGTAGAATTACTGAGATAAGCTGCTTCTTTCTAAAAGGGTTTGGGTCAGCTGTAGGTTTAAAGAAGTTTATATTACTACAAGCCCAGCCCAGAGATCAGGACAGTGATGCAGGAGCCCAGATCTTTCAAGAGGTACACTGTTAGATGAATAAACTGAATTCAATTGTTCAAAGAGTACCAGTATACCTTCAGAAAAAAAAATTTTTTTTCAAAAGGTACACCTTTGTACTTAAAGGGTGCTTATTGGTAACTTAAAGTGCATATTTGTACCTAAAAAGCACAAAAGTATACCTTGAAAAAAAGTGTCAGCTTTTGTACCTTTTTTTTCTAAGAGTGTTCTTTTTTTCTAAAAGTTGGCTTTAGTATCCAAAAGTTGCTGGGCGATAGTATAGCCAGGTGTGTGGTAACTGCAGGTTACAACTGCCCAATGTGAGGTCAATGTTACTTCCAGCCCAGAGGAGCTCATCTAGTTTTATTGTTAACGTTATTCCCAACCAATCAGGTTAATCTGGGTCAGGACTGATGTAAATGTTTGAGAAGGCAACAGATACCTGAAAGGAATGAGTTGAGGCTCCCTGCCAGATTTGTGAATCTGATGAGTAAAATAATCAATTCAGAGAGACAGTTTAGATCTTTGGCTTCTGTCAGTCTCTTCGCACAGTGCCAGACCACCAATGACAGGGTTTGGACCACTGCAGCACTGCATACATGGAGTGGCACACCACTAACAAACCTCAAACCACACAGACTACAAACTCTTCATACCTCCTACCACTTCAAACTAAAACCATCCCAAAGCTTGGCTACAAGAATTTAAGAGGTAAGAATGTTGGTGATTCAGAAAGTTTAGTGAAAAGCTAAATAACTTTCTAAGTTGCTCTCGGATATTACAGCCATTCACATGCTGAGTTACAAGCATTCAGCTGAAATCAGCGGTCATATAAAAACCAGACCTGAGACTCTGAGACCTAAATGAGAAACACAATATACATGCTTAGGTGTGCATTTATATATACATAATAAATATATACACATATACTATGTAAACAAAAACTTTTATTTTGGACGCGATTAATCGCGATTATTCGTTTGAAACCACTTTTATATATATATATATATATATAGTGGTGACCAAAACCCGTTTTCAAACTTTAAACAGTATTGCATTCTACAATATGATTTTTGATACAAAAATGTGCAGTACATTGATCATTTGTAAATAATTATAATTACCTCTCCATTAAAGGTTTCATCTCCAAAGGTGCGCGCTCCACTCATCAAGAGCACCAGAAGAGAATAAATTACGGTCCGTCTCCACAGCAACGTGAACGGGTCATCCCATAACACTGCCATCATTCTCATCTGGATCAGTGCTAGCAGCTAAAACTCTTCAGAAGTGTAACCAAAGAGGTTAAAATCAAACAGTCTGCAACTAAAAACGCGAGAAGTCCAATGCACTCAGATTAAAAACAACATCATTCTGACAGGGTCTCCTGTAGTTGTGTGTCCTTTCTGCAGAAGCGCGCGGTTCTTCAGCGCTACAGTCATTCAGTGAGATTTAACGCCAGTCCCAGGCGCTGTACCGGGAGTCAAAGAGGTTCGATGCTCTGGCTGAAGTTTCTGAGTGTGTTAGGTATCATATCCAGCGGGTGTGCCCACTTAATGGTCGTTTCATCCCACTCACGTGGTGCCTATAAATTAATTACAGCTACAACCTACTTCAAAGCAGAAGCTGTGCAAACTTACGCTGCAATTTCCTCTTGTGGTATGACTCGGTAAACGAAGCGTGAATAACGGCTAGTGTTATTGCAACAGAGATTTGCGTTTCTTGGGACAGAAACTCGGTCGTCGCGCTGTAACCACAATACAAGAGCGCACAAATTATTATCAGATGACTGCGACACGCTCCGACACCTGTCTTGGATCACCGCCCTGCTTGTAAAGATTTAATACGATAGTTTTTCTCGATAAAATCCACGTTTTCTCTCGGTTTTCTTGGGCGGGTTCCAGGTCGCCGGGTGCTTGTTGTGACGCTCCTCGTGTGTGCAGCGAGTGACTCGGACTTTGTGCTGAGTCCTGCGGCGTGTCCCGCTGAAGCTGGAGGAGGGGCCCAACAAGACGGACACCAGCAAGTGTCCAGTGCCACCTCCAGTCTGGACATTTATCCTGACACAACGACACGTGTTATTTCTTCTTTGCAGTACTTTTGAGCTCTGTAATAAAAAAAAAGTACCCATATGCACTTATTTGTCACTTTAGGAAATAGAATTCTATAAAACTATCAGCCAGACATTCAGAAAAAGCCTATATGTTCTGTTTAAGCTAAGACAAGTAAAAACTATTAATTACAGATTAGCCTATTTATTTACACATTGCAACAACAACAACAAATTACCAGAATGCCAGGTAGCTTAAAAATAAAGGTGCTTCAAAAGGTTCTTCAAGAGATGCCATAGAAGAACCATTTTTGGTTCCACAAAGAACCATTCAGTCAAAGGTTCTTTAAAGAATCATCTCTTTCTTACCTTTTTATAATCTGAAGAACCTTCTTTCGCCACAAAGAACCTTTTGTCAAACAGAAAGGTTCTTCAGATGTTAAAGGTTCTTTATGGAACCATTTAGACAAAAAGGTTCTTCTATGGCATCGTGAAGCACCTTTATTTTTAAGTGTGTATGTGTTGAATTTACTCAGTTATTGTTATAGTCTTTTGGGTTACACTTTACTTGAAGGGGTGTGCATAAGACTGACATGATACCTTCATAATCATGACATGACACATGTCATGAATATGAAGGAGGTTTTATGCATGATTATGACAACTGTCATTAAGTGTCATTCGCTCAGTTATGTCATTTTTAATGCAAAGATGACATTGTTTGAGATGTCTTTGTGATGGGCTATGGTTAGGGGTAAGGGTAGGGGTAGGGGTAGGTTAGGGTTAGGTCAAATAATGTCATATTTGCATTAAAAATGACATAACTGAGCGAATGACACTTAATGACAGTTGTCATAAACATGCATAAAACCTCCTTCATATTCATGACATGTGTCATGTCATGATTATGTAGGTGTCATGATTATGAAGGTATCATGTCAGTCTTATGCACACCCCTTCAAGTAAAGTGTTACCGTCTTTTGCTTATATGACCACTAGAATGAGATTGTGTACCGTAAACTGACAGTCAGATAGTGTGACACAGCGTCTCCTACAGGACAGTTTTGTTGCAAGACTGTGGTGCATCTCAGAGCATTTGAATAATTAATTTCAAAATACTTACAGGCTACATAATAGGCTGCATAACTTGAGTAGCGGTGCGCTTCTTCACAAGCCGAACTTTAATATAAGCTGATAAAGCAGTTCCAGTTTTGTTAAAACTGTTTGGTGCGCCATTCTTGGTTTTATCAAATGTTATTTAAATCATAATTTTGAAATGACATAAATGTAATTTTTGGATTCAATGAATCTGTAAAGAAAAATTACACTTATTTTGTAAACCTTATTTTTCGGTTAGCTAGGTATTACATCCATAAATGTACATTTTCTAAATGCAAACCCCTTTTTGAGATTCAAACTTGAAATGAAAATGTACATTGAATCTATTCAGTTCTCTAAAACCTTAAAAGCACTAAGAACAATGATTTGTTTAAGGACTTGGAGCTTGTTTTGTTATGGTATGACAGTGATGAAAATTGTTTTGATTTCCAAGCATCTTTATTAATTAATAAATTTTAAAAAGATTCAAATTTGTCACAACAAAGTAGAAAAATTGAAGATGGATTATTCAAAACAGTAAACCTCCAGAAAATCACTGATTGTAAAATCAAAGAAACAGTTATTTATTTGTCCGTCCGCTTTTAAAAGATGTTCCGAACCACATTTATCTGCCCAGAGGAGCAGAGTCAAAGCACAGCCAAAACAATGTTCTTCCGCAAGACACATGTAGTTTTATTTTTAACCGAGGCCCAAAGGTCACTTTCATTTATTATGAGTTTTCATTCCCAATTTATGTCCAAAAAAATTGGCCATATTAATTTAATAGAAACATATTTTAATTCTGTTACGTACAACATGCTAACAGACTAAATAAACCACACACAGCCTAGTCAAATAATTGTCTTTTCAATCATGAAAATTAGGAGAACCCTTACGAAAAATAAGTTTATTCAAGTGTGCTATTAGTATACTTCTTTTAAACTAAAAATCGTGTTAGAATACATGTGGAAGCATCTGTTGTTTCGGTTTCTTCTTCACTTGTGTGTTTTGGAAATTCTGTACAGAAGATGTGTACTATCGCCCTCTACAGTATAACAATGAAAACACGGATTCTAGGAACACAAGTATAGCTCAAATATATTTAGACTTTTTCTAAGTATAAGTCAAGTATACTTAAATGTCATTTTAAGTATATTTCTGAGAAGTACATAAAGCCCATTTCTGAGAAGTACATAAAAAGTAGACTAAAAGTATACTTTCCTATTTTTAGTTTAAAATAAGTATACTAATAGCACACTTGAATAAACTTCTTTTTCGTAAGGGTTAAATCAATCACAGTCTGCATTCTTGAGACTCCTGTACTTGTCATTACCAGGGCGTCTGTCTTGTGTTCGCTCCTACCTCTAAAAAGCTTAGTCTATTTGAACTGTCTTGTGTTTTAGACAGCTGTATTAAAGGACTGCAGTGAATGTTGGAGATAAGAGTGTAATTGACTGTGTGCTGAGAGCAGTAGAGTGTCTAGAGCTGTCAAATTAGGGTGCTTTCTAACATACATCAACGCAAACAAATGAAGGCTCTGTTTAAATCCCTGTATTCAAACACACACAGAAGTAGAGCAGTTAGACCTGCCTAAAGAACATCTAGAGCAGGGATGGGCAACTGGCGGCCCGTGGGTCATATACGGCCTGCAGTGTCTTTTAGTACGGCCCGCTGGATCATATTAGACTCGGATGATCAATTTTAAAACATTTGAAAAGCAAGTCACGTAAAGATTGCTTTCAGTTTATGATGTTAATACTATCTCCAACCAGGAGAGGTCGCTAGCTTCCAGCCGTTCCCGTATTAATTTCAGCGTAGTAGGACTTGCACTCTAATCTAAACATCCATTAACATTAGCAAATAATAAATGAAAAGCTGACCATGAAAACAGTATTTTCCAGTCAAGATGGTAAACAGATTAACTTTTTACCAAGTTCAAGGGGATACCCATATGTTTGGAAATCTGTATTTGATTTAAATCGCCATCACACCACTGCTCACAAACAACGGGGACGCCAGAGTTGCACTTGCCTCAAATTTCAAAGGTAAAATTCATAGCCAACAAAAGCTTTTTGCCAAATTCATGACAGAAATGTTTGCACTGAAATGTTCTTATTAGGGTTTCCGCGGGTCCTTAAAACGTCTTCAGTTAAATTGTTTACATTTAAGGCCATGCAAACTCTTAAATTGTACAAAAAGTGTAAATTATAAGAGGTCTTTGGGGACGGAAAGACAAGAAATGCTATATGGATTAATATGACGATTAAACTTCAAAAGGCTACGATTTCACTGAATAAACTTGAGCGCTGCACATCAGCTTTGTGTACTGCGGTTACCGGGGAA